TAATTTCAAGCTGTTAGCTTGACTGAGGAGCAAGTGCACCAAATATTGTGTCGACGGCGCAGAGAAAATTTTTTTGGAGTTCTAGAGGTATTCTGTGAAATTCTTATTGGGTGAAAATTTTATTCCATTAATTAAAGCTTTAAGAAAAATCACTGGCAGTACAACAAATAAAAATAAAATTGATGAAAAGTGTAAAAATGCCAAAGCGAAAATCAGGCTTTCATAAATTTCAAAAGTCGGTTTATGGATTTTACACTTTTAATGAAACGAGCGTTAACTTCGTTGGTAAGTTGACCAACAGGCAATGCAATCTTAGTCAAAGCACTTGAAAAAATTCTCAGTGGCTCAGTTGAAGAACCGAATAATGAACAGCAACTGTTTCTAGTATGAATGATCTCTGCTTGTTGTCCTGTGATTTCGGAAATTTTTTCAGCAAAATGCGAAATTCAGGAAAAAGAGACATCTGCTTGCTTCTAGTTTAAGTTCTTGATAGCATGGTTGAAGTATCTTTACCTAAGCTTGATTAATTTGCAGAAAGTCTTGCCATTGAAAGCATATCAGCAGCTATCTGCTGCACCGATAAGAGAATTATATGCTGATGAAAACTTGAAGCAGGATTTGTTAGACCGCTTGAACGACCTCCCGAAAGTTAACTTAACTCTTATTGACCTCCAGTGGTTGCAGGTTATTTCTGTTATGTTTCTCAGATCACAATGCAAATTTCTTTTCTTTGTGAGAGGCACTGGCACATGAAATTGTCTCTAGCGATGATGCTTTACGAAAAGTGACTGTTTGCTTCAGAGATTTTCTTGCTTTCAGCTGTTCCATAAACGACAAAATTGTTCAGGCTAAAACTGAAGTCAAAAATGCTTACAGTTAAATGAATTTATTTATTGGTGGCAGTAATTTACAGTTATATTGTGCATATCATACTTCTGCAGTGATCCTGATTTCTAGGTCCTCGCAGAAGGATGGGCGTCGCCGTTGTCTGGATTCATGCGTGAGCGCCAGTATTTGCAGTGCTTGCATCATGGGCTTCTTTTGGATTTGAAGAGAGATTGTTCTGTTCCGGGTGTGCCGCCTCCTGAAAGTGATGATTCAATTTGGTCACTTAACGAACCACTAAATCAGTCTGTACCAATTGTGCTACCAATCGATGACAGAACAAAAGCAGGATTGATGCAAGGTAAATACGCTAAAGGCAGTGGTTTAGTTTCGATTTTTTAAAAGTGAATAAGTATTTTTAGGAAATGTTGTACATAATTCGCTTCTGGAAATTTGTTTTTTTAATGCTTTTTGAGAACTGAAAATATTTTTTCTATTTGTAAATACTTTAATGATGGAATATCGGAAGTAGTAAAAAGTTAATACTGCCATTATTTTTAGGATACTGTTAAAAAGCACCTCTAAAAATGCTTTGTATGCTTTAATTTCTAATTCGTTAAAGAACATTATCAGTCATTTTTTTAAAGAGCCGCACTTCATAGCGTGCTTTCCCAACAATGCAGCTGGGAACTTTTTCGCTTGTTTTGACCAGTACTGCTTCGCTCAGTAGACAACCTGCTGATGATCCTGACGTTCGCTTCATATCTTGAAGGAATAATCAGCTCAACGGCCTTCTTGGAAGAAACATCTAGCAAGGCTTCACACGCCACCTCATTTGGAATATTACCACTTTTAGACCACTAAAAAGTGCCTTACCAACTAGAAGTATTAATCGTAGAGATATGAAATGATATTTGAAAGTGTTAAGAATACTAATCTTGCTTT